AACTATTAATTGATAAATTATCAATTTAAGCAGACCTATCAGTATAACTATTAGTATTATGCTAATAATAGCTACAGGCTAAGTTGTATAAATACAAATGACTAATAGTATTAGTCATTAGTATTAGTAGTAACTATTAACTGTTAACTAGTCTTTGCTACTTTATTACGCTATAGCTTAGTGACTTTTTAGGTGGTAAACTTTAACATTATTTGCAACTTGATTCTAGTTAAAAATAATAAAACAATTCATGAGACATGTGTGTAACCATGTGATTTTGTTTAGATTTAGATCAAGACTTTACAGTGCAGAAGCAAGATTTGGTTGGTGTGGAATATTTCCATGTTGCATCACTGCAAAATTGGATGGAAGTGGAAGATGTGATCATGTCAGAGTGGCATAATATATCAGAGAAAGAACTGTTAAATTATATGGTGTACAGCAGAGAAATTGATTATACTACTGGGTATGAAAAACATTTGCTTTAACTTTAAAAAAATATTTTAACCAAATTTTAATAATGACGCAAGTAGATCCTAAAAATGTGTTAAAACCAAATTTTGACATTTTAAATATTTGGGACACTTCCATGTTTGAAATATAAAACGCAATTTGAAATTTTTAATGCTATCCGTACTTATTTCAGTGGATGAGACTTACACCATCCTTCGAGATAGATATCAGCACAAGGGAAAAGGTAGACCTAAAGGCCTGCCAAAAGAGATTGTCTGCAACAACAGGATACTAGTGCAGTTATCATACATCAGAGAAGAAGGAAATCATCCATGGTCACAGGCAAGTAATTTCAGCATTAGCAATTGATAACAATTACACCAAGTGCTGCATGCTATGTAAGATGGTATGTATGATAGGCTCTGTGGTAGTATATTTGAAATATCAGTTAACAAATTCTCCTTATTCCCAGGTTGCAGATGAATGGATTGCAAACATTTTTCCAGACTCCAGATTGATGAAAGGATCCCTTACTTGATGATCCACTACACAAGACCAACAGAAGTCTGACGTTATTACAGATGAGATGTGTGTATCAAGACATCGAAAGTAAGATTTCCCCAGCAGAATCTTTACTTTATACAAGCCGCACATAGCCTAGTGCGCAATTTAAGTCAAGTAATTCTTTAATTACTCACTAGTTCAACAGAATCGGAGAGAAAGTACACTATTTTCAATTGGATTATTACACTATTACTTCTATTACGCAAGGTACTTGCATTGGATTATTGAAGCAGTTTGTGTTGTAACTTTTTCATTGGATTATATAACTTTTGCATTGGAGTATTTACCCAAGTACACTTTCTACATAGAAGGATTATCGACTACACAGAGATCATAGCGTCACAGAGGAGCAGAGGTGACCAACTACAGATTTCTTTTGGACACTTGGTATTTATGTATATGATGTGTTATGTATTATATATAATTTAAGACTTTAAAAATCTACTTATAGAATACTTAATTAGATTAAGTAAATTTTTTACTTTTTCTGTATATTATAAGTTTAATTTTAGAGTATACTTTAGGAATATCCACGGTGTTATCTTTCCTAGGGAAGTAATACTTAATTAGATTAAGTAAATTTTTTACTTTTTCTGTATATTATAAGTTTAATTTTAGAGTATACTTTAGGAATATCCACGGTGTTATCTTTCCTAGGGAAGTTTTTTTATTAAAACAGTAAAGGTTTCTTCTGGCCCTATTTATAACACTGTAGGATAATTCTGTGTTAGCTGTGAAGTCTAGTTTGTACATTGTCATAACTGTTGTTTTTTAGTATATCTTGTCATATTTGTTCTATTTGTCTTGTCATTGTTATACATATTGTCAACCTACTGTCATATTTTCTACTATCTTGTTGTCCATAAACTACACAGTACTTTTGTATTTGTTGTCTCATTTGTATACATGTAAACGTCTACATATCTGTATTTATGTTGTGAAGTAGACAATCTAATTATTTTAAATTTTCTTACACTTACTTATATATTATATTTGTATTAACTTGCATTTTGTATTCATTCATTAACATGTAAATATAATGTAATATTGTGAACTATTTTAATTGATAACTCATCAAGAAATAACTGATATACTTATACATACCAATATATTTTTAGTTACTCAAACACATTACTCAAACACATTATAACAAAAAATGGCAGAGTACTTAGAACTATTAGAAGTAGC